ATTATTTTTGTGCCTCATAATCTTTATCCAAACATTATATGGTTGGATAGATCTTGAAATTATCTTTTCAATGATATATTATAATATTAATTCCGAGCTATAACGAAAAAGATATGAATGGAATACGAAATTTATCCAAAACTGATACCCTTCCACTATTTCGACCATATATTTTTATCTACAAAATATTTTAATATGATTCTAATTGAGTTAAAAATTAGACTTCAAGAGCTTTCCAATAACATATTATATGAATTTTTGGGACTTCTGGATCAAAAGATATGATAAAAACAAAATTTGCAAAAAAGCTGTCCCAGCGCCAAACGACAGGTCTGTCGCCTGGCGACGAACTTGTCGTCTGGCACTGCTCCTTTCATTGGCGACATGAGGTCTTTTATTCCGTATGGGACTCGAACTTTTTTCTTTCGATTTCCATGCTATTTTTTCTATAAATAGGGGTAGTATCTCCCCGTTTTGAATCATTTACAACAATCATCTCTCTATTTCTCTCTCTAAAAGCTAGAAGCTTTCTCTTTAATGTTTAGTGACATGCTAGGGTTTTTTATTAATCTTGTTTGTATCATGCCTAGGATCTTGCTAATAATATTATGCTTTAACATGATTATTTTAATTATGATTGTAATTGTTATCATAATTATAATGATTATAATTGTCTTAATTTTTATTATGTTTCTTGATATTATTATTATTTTTATTGCTTGATCACTCCTTTTATGCATGTTTATTTAAAGGGAATCTGTAATTTTAATCACGCTTAATAAGATAATTAATAATCTTGTTTAGGTTAATTTGAATATAATTCAAGTGATCGCCAATAATAGATTTATTTATGCATTAATATTTAACCAACATAGATTAAACAGGTTTAGGGTAAACCTAATGATTGTATGTTAGTCAGAAAGCGCACATGAATACAAGAAGAATAAAGTAGAGGCCTATTATTAGGGCAGGTTTAGTCTCTTTTAGGTTGGATTTGTACCTTCATCCTCGAACTTCAAGTCATGGTTCTAGAACTATTGGAGTTAACGATCTCCTAGATCGTTAAGGGGTGTAACCTTCACCCTGTGAACGATTTACAAGTTCCTAAAACTTATTGCCGACTCTTTTACTCTAGTTTCCTTTCTTTTGGACGCCACCATGCTTAAGTGTATGATCACAGTGAGGCTCAAGTGTGGGATGGCTTGAAATATTCCCTATAATGATTAAGCAGCAAATTTCACGTTTATCAATTAAAACCAGGTTTATCATAAAACTCTTTAACATATAATTATCAATCCTAATTCTTTTAGAATTTAAAAGAACCTTCTAAATTATTCTAGAAGATTAAAATCAATCCTAATAACTTTAGGAATAATAATTAATAGGCCCACCTCTAGATCATTGAGCAGCATATAAAATTCATTTGGGGCCCAATTTAGTATTTTGGCCATAACTTCCTCATTATTCATCAGAATTGGGCTTATAATATATCGTTGAAAAGATGTTTTCGAGCCCAACCCAACTACACTTTATTGGACCCTTATCATGGATCAAACTAAATTGAAATGTCTGTTTTCATAAAAAGAGTACATTTTTAAAAACAGAAAGAGAGATATTTTAATAAAAACAACCGCATCACTGGACTTTTCATACTTTCACTTCGTTCGATAATCAAATGACGTGAAAGGTATTAATCACTGGGTTTGATTTTGGGGAGACACATTTGGGTGTCTACAGTTGGAGTGATCGAAATTCCTCCCTAAAAGCTCATCATTTCTCAAACTTCAGAGGGAGTGATTGAAACTCCTCCCTGCAAGCTTGTCATTTCTTAAACTTCAGCGGGAGTGATCAAAATTCTTCCCTGAAAGCTCGTCATTTCTCGAAATTCAGCGGGAGTGATCGAAATCCCTCCCTACAAGCTCGTCATTTCTCAAACTTCAGCGGGAGTGATATATAGAAATCCCTTCCTGTAAGCTCACCATTTCTCGAACTTCAGCGGGAGTGATCGAAATTCCTCCCTGCAAGATCGTCATTTCTCAAACTTCAGTGGGAGTGATAAAAAATCCTCCCTGGAAATTCACCATTCTCGAGATTTCAGCTGGAAGAATTAATATCTCTCTTTGCAGTCACACCACAGAGAGAAAAACACGTTCCAGGCAGAAGAGAGCCACCATAGATGAGTAATGGCACAATCACATCATCGCCAAGCCTCTAGACCGCATCAACAATCAAGAGACTTTAGGGGCTAGGAGTGTACGGGGTAATTTAGCTAGACGACTCGTTGAGCAACAGATGGTAAGGATACACGCTTAGAATATCTGGAATGAATGACCTCATACCATCCTTTTAGGGGCTAGTTGTAGGGGATAGCTCCTGCTGAGCTATTCCTCCCAACTGGGCTCAGATGGAAAGGCTTCGCCATGCAGACAAGAGCCGACATGAGTGACCTCAAACCACCTCTTGAGGGGCTAGTTGTATAGGGTAGCTCTTGCTGAACTGTCATCCAGCTCTCGGGGTGCGCACTCATCGCTGGAAGAACAACTAGAGGGGCTCACCAGCCCGTTAGAATCAGCCTGCAGGGCTGACATGGTGAGACTCTCCACAAAGGAGATCGTACACCTATAAATAGAGGATAAAGTACAATGGAAAAGAGGTTAAACACACAAGTTATTACACTCTCTATATCTCTCTAAGTACACTTTCTCTCTCTAAACAAGCTCTAACTTAGGCATCGGAGGGGGTTCTTCGAGCCACTCTCGAGGGCAGTTCACGTGTGTTATCTTGTGTAGGTTATCAACGGGACCCAGCCCGTGCCAGCAGAACCCTTGGATCCACACCTGGAACAATATTAAATCATATAGTTCAGCGAATTGTAAGATATCGATTCAAGATGATTGAACAAATAAAGGTATTTCACTTGAAGCTTAAAACAGTTTTGATGAATAAGCGACAACATTATATGTTCATTTTTTATTCTAGTAAATGTTCATTTATGTAGTTCGAGATCAGCCGGCTATGGCTGGGCGCCATTTTAGCTATAAATAGAATAGATTGGGCGGGTTGGTATAACTACATGCCTCACAAGAATAGGCCCATAAGGCATTACACAACCCAGCATAGCCTGAGCCTAGGTCCAATGGCACTCTTTATTTTAGGCTCAACCTGTGAACCTCTTGATACCCTTTCACTCTTTCATAAGTTTTCAATATGAAATTCAAAAAAAAAAAATCAACCACAAGTAAAGTAAGCACAAGAATAGTTGAAAAAAAAAAAGTATAGTTGAAAAATAATATGAGTAAAATAGGATGGAGTACATATTAAATTACTCCGTATCTAGCAGTCTTTGAGAGGGCGTGGTGACATGCAACACAGATTACCATGGTAAATTTTGCTGACATCTTAATTACCAGATTATGTGCAGGCCTAACCACAGTGAATCTATCAATTATATTTCCAGACCATTTTTTTTTAAATGTTATATACTGAATAATAATGATAATGTTGTATTTAATAAAATTATAAAATGATTAATAAAATACCATAACATAAAATTTAGAATAATTTTGCTGACAATGTTATGGTGACATGCAACACGGATTTTTTTTTTTTTTTTTTTTTTTTTTTGACAAACACCATAACATTGTGTAAATTATTCTAAATTTTCCTATTTATATTATTACCGATTTTGTTTATTACTCCGTACTCCAATATTCCATACTTTATACTTTACATAATTTAACTTTGACAATGTTTACGTAAGTCACATTTTTTTCTACTATGTATTTGGAGTACTAGAATAGAGAAAAATTAATTTGCGATTGACGGAAATTAAATCAAATACATTAATTTAAATTCATTTTTTGAATTATATTTAAGAAAAAGTACATTTATATTACATCATTTTAGATTTAATATGAAACATGTAATAATTGCTACAATTCTATGTATGAATAATATTGAGAAAAAGAATAAGCATTATCGAACGTGAAATGAAATAGAGAAAGCATGCATCATTTTTGTAGGAGTATACTACAACACGTTTGCAGTTTACACATAGTTCGAGGAAATGGTTTGTAAACTCGATCAGTTGTTGTAGTTCACAGATTTTGTAAGCTTTCATTCAATTTTCACAACTTGTATACGACACCACCATCACCTGCTCCCTTTTCTGACATCCATCCTACCAAAACCAACTAATTTTCATAAACAAACACAACCATAACTAAAACATTTTTAAATTATTAAACTAAAACCAATTACTCAAAATGGTTTTAATTTTACTGTTTAGGAAATAAAACAAGGATAACTAGCTTATTAATAAAATTCAAATATAATGTTTTTAAAAAGAAAGATACACAAAAAATTAGACTGACTTTCTCTCAAGACTACTACCTAACTTATCTGAAATTCAAACATAGTTGTCTTTTGAGGTGATACATTGATAATAGGATGTCAAAATTTAATTGAAGTTTCAGAAATATTCCTATTAATAGGGAATAAGTAGAGTATGGAGGACAGCAATAATAAATTACTAAACAAGTAAAATAGTGTAGGTTCAGTATTACAAAATTGTCAAACTATCTTATTTGACTTGAAAAAGGTTAAATTGTTAAAAGACCAAAATTATTTTAAAAACAAAGCTTGAAAATAATCACCTTTTTTTGATAAAAACCATACGGAGTAAAATACAACAATGTAGGGCTGTCAATCTTTAATTACAATGTACAAATATTCTATAAGTAGTAATTATTATATGCTAGAAATATTTTGTCAAACTATAATTAAATATTTTTATTTGGAAGAAAATGGACCATGCTTACTACAAAAGCTCGAACTTAATAATTCTTTTAGATGAAATACAATTGTAACAAGTTGTCAAACCTTAATTACATTGCAGAAACATTCTCTAAATAGGTAATAAAAATGGAGGACAGCAATAAGATTACAAAATCAGGAAAAATAATGTATTTACAAAAGATTAAATTTATGAATAATATAAATCAAGGGTTAAAAATAATATTTCCACACTTGCATTTCCATTTCATAGGTTTATAATTAGACAATCCATCTCCTCTTGAATATGCAATTGTTGGAGTTGAATGCATAAAATGGCTTCTTGGAAAACCTTTTTGAGGTACTATTGGAACTTGAATTGCTTCACAATGTCCGCAATTGTTGCATCTTCCTTGGCATCTTGGTGGGTGTTTCGGGGTTTTCTGATGTCCTGCGGAAAGTAAAGGTAGGAGATCTGGTTCCTCTAGGGGAGGAGAGATCAATGTGTTTTGGTTTTCTCTAGGTGAGAGTCATTAATTGTTGAATCCCCTTTAATGAGGATTAATTAAGTATTTATAGTCTTGAGAAGCGTGCCAATCCTAGGTTTAGGTTAACTAGGGCAAATTGGGCTTCTCTCGGACTTTGGGCCTTGGTGGCCATTTTGCCTATTTGGCATATGGGAGGCCACGTGGCGTGGCCTGATTAGTCCATGTTGGACCTCTTAGGGTGACAAATGGCGGACGCTGATTGGCCCACGTGGTGGACACGTGGCAGGTCCGGATTGGTCCATTTGTCATGGGTAATTTTTACCCTAAACATTTGCCCCTCGGAAGGAGTAATTTCTCTTTCCAGGAGGGATTGCTCCTTTCGAAAGTTAGACCCTCGAAGCTTTGCTAGGTCGGCATCTTGTCTAGTTCTAATGGGAGATGGACTTGATTAACTTAGAAAATTTTGATACCTTGGGCGGTATGACATTTTCAAAATTAATCAATCATAATAAATATTGCCGCCGAACTAGACATATGCCGATTCTTTGCCCCACTATGCAGATAGCCCCTGATCAGGTGGACTGTCAACTATTGCATAAGGGGTAAGCGTTTAGCATTATTCGGCCGTTGGCCTCTTTTGATTCAATATACTAAGTTTGGTACTAAGTTTATTTCGTTGGGGGATGGCTGGTCGTCTGCTTTGGTGGCTGCATAGAAGCAGGCGTCAGACAGGACGTCCAACCAAAGTAGCTACGCCTGTTGGGTTACAGACATCAGCTTTAAGTATAGCCAACCTAGTAAGAATAGTGGTTGAGTACCTCTGTTTACCAAAAAACAGGCGGACTCCTCATACCTTTTAGGTTCCGTACTAAGTTTGAGAGAGTGACTATGAGTTAACATTGGAGTTAGTCAATCACTGCCTATTTTGTTTGAGTGGTAGGGAAACCAGGCGGCGGGGGCCGGATAGTCCCCTTGATTCACCAAGTTTTTCTTGGCTATTAACTCAAAGGTTGTTAACCTAGCAGGAGTAGTGGTTGAGAGCCCCTGTTTGCTAAAAACAAGCGGGCGACTCATACCCTTTAGGCTCCATACTAAGTTTGAGAGAGTGACTATGAGTTAACATGGGAGTTACTCAGTCTCCGTCACACTCTAGCTTGAGTAGTAGAGGTACCAGGCGGCGGAGGCCGGTTGATCCCCTTGATTCGCCAATGTTTGTTGGCTATTAACCCAAGGAGTGGTTACCTAGTAGGAATAGGGGTTTGAGTGCCCCTGTTTGCCAAAAAATAGGCGGTCTACTCAAACCTTTTAGGTTCCATACCAAGTTTGAGGGAGTGCCTATGAGTTGACTTTGGTGTTACTCAGTCGCCGTCACTCCTGCTTGAGTAGTAAAGGTACCAGGCGGCGGAGGCCGGCTGAACCTTTTGATTCGCCAATGTTTGTTGGCTATTAACTCAAGAGGTACCCCCTGCATTTATCCCAAGTAATACAGGGGGTCATCCGACTCAGATGTCAACTGCTACCACCGGTTTGGTTAGTGATAGAGTTATCCTTGTCTCAAAAACGGCTACGTGGTTGCCCTTGGGGACAGTCGTATAGGTGCCGTGTAATTAGTTTATAGAGCAATGTTCCACCCAAAAGGGAGCTGCTCTCTGCGACGAATTTCATCCGGAGGGATGCCGTCGGACGCCTGCTATGATGTTGGGACAGGTCGTATTAGTTTAAAAATTGGATCAGTTGGCTTGGCGCCTGGGCTGATCATCGGGCCTGTGGCCTTGGTTAGTTCTTGGCGAACGTAGGTACTGAGTAAGAAGAGGGAGGCCGCTTGTTTAGGCACATGGTCGGCCTGGCCCTAATCTTTTTTAGCTAAGTATAAGGGGGGTGGTTGTGTGCTTTGGAACCAGTCGGCCCTCTTCTATGGAGAGTAGCCGACTATATGTCCAGACAGCATGCCCCTCTAGTGATAGAGTAAAATAATCAAAGCAGAGAGTAGCCGACTATAGAGGTACCGCTGCTATACTCAATGGAGAGTAGCCGACTGTAAAGGTACAGCGGCATGCCCCTCTGATGATATAGTGATATAATCAATGGAGAGTAGCCGACTGTAAAGGTACAGGCGGCATGCCCCTCTGAATTAGTATCAAGTATTGAAATAATTTCAAGTGTTAGAGTAGATAGATCACTTAGCTCCCTTCCATGGAGGATTGATGACTCTACTTTCTTCGAATGGGGACAGGTGGTCGTGCTAAACTTGTTAATGTGGTTTGCGACCTCGCTGCTCGGCCTACACATTTGTCGCCGGTCTTTAGCCCCTTAGTGAAATTAATGAGGGTCGACTGCTTTCATAGCTACGAGACTTCGTCGTATAGGGGGCCGAATACTATTCATGCCGCCTCTCTTGCTTAATAGACTTCGGCAATATTTTTTGAGAGGATCTTATGTTTTTGTCTTATTCTCATGCATGAGAATGACAATTAACCATACTGTTAGGCAGCATTTTTTATTTTTTATTTTTTATTTTTTTATCATAATAATGATTGAGGTCGCCTAAACCAAGGCTACGAAACCATGATAATCATACCACCAGACATTCGGCATGCCGCTTGCTTTCATTTGGCAAGACATCCAATCTTCTTAGCTTCAAAATCACGATGCATGATCATGATGATGTTGGGCTTAGCATAATGATGCTAGTTGTACTCGTACCCATGATAATTTTCTTGATGATAATTTCTTTCGTGTAACAGCCGGCTGTTTAGAGCTGGCAGGCCGGGTGCTTAGTGGCTGGGTTGGGGCCGGCTGCCGCCTGCTGGCTTTGAGGAACGATGCCTAGGAGCCGGTTGTTCAAGCATAGGTGTCATAAAGCTGGCTGTATTGAGGCAGTTGGGAGCCTTGTATTTTGACGCCTGCTTTCATTAGTTTAGCGAGGACACTAGGTGTAGTTAAACAGCCAAAGGCTTGACTAGCTAGGTGCATCTCTGTGCTCAACCACTAATGCTGGCTGTAGCCTAAGGCCGGCTTGGCTTGTGCGGGCGCCTCAATAGTGGACTGGCAACGAGGGCCGCCTATTCTGAAAATTTACAAACGACTTCTCAAATTCAGGCGTCCATACCCATCTTGCGTATCCAGCCATGCATACCATTCTCTCGTTCTCGCATATGCTGCTTTATTTGAGCTAGCTTGAAGTTCGACATTGAGATATCGTCTTGCACATTCTCAAACAAGGAACTTTTTGGTGTTAAACGGTTTCGGACACCATTAATAACCAAGGTGCGCAGCCGGCAACCGAGAGTTTGAGTTCAACATTTTACTTGCATTTTACTTGAGTTTGAGTTTGAGCTCATGCCTTTTCAACCAAGTGCCGACTGTTTTAGCCGCCATTTAGCCGTCTGCTTTCTTGGGCGAGACGCCAGTTCCTAGCTTTCACAATTAGCACATGAACAAGTTTAAGCATTCACTCTCATGGCCGATTATATTACTATGAGCCAAGCGCTACTCCTCTCGGCAGGTCGTGAGGTTTGAGGTTTATATGTGCGAGTATGTTGGCTGTTTACTTTTGGAAGATCAAGCTGGAACCAAACTCATTTGTATCAAGTATACTTGGCATTATATTTTAGAGCAAAAACCATGCGGTTATACCATGATAAAACATCATATAGAGCAGGCTGGTCTTATCACAATAGCAAAGATCATAGATGTTCGCATGCCGGGGCCGTTTTTGAACCTCAAGTAAACCGAGCACAATGGTTTTTTTGGGCATGGCCGGCTGTAATCTTGAGGAGCACTTGTGATTGTGTAATTATTCTCGGAATTCTTGCTTAAAATACATATAGCCGGTTTTTCAAGGCTACCCTCGACGAGCACCGGCTGTTTGGTTGACCGAATGCCGACTAACTCTATAATGTCGCCTGCTCTCAAATGCTGAGAGTGTCGGATGTTTTATTAAGAGCTAACTAATGTTGCGTAGAGATGGCCGGCTGATATTCATGCACCTAACTCTTGTTTTTAACGGCTGGTTTTCGGTTTTGTTTCAGCCAGACCAAGACCCACTAGTTGACCCGCATATGATGCAAGCTGGAAAAAGTTTCATTTGAATTGAAATACATATGGCATTATAAATGTTGGGTGAGCATATATGGAGCTGGCCGGATGTATTGCTTGCAGCCTTTGATGCCGCCTATATCAAACAGATGCTTGGCATGAAGAGAAGTCCGCCTGGCTAGAAGCTCACAAACGACTTCTTCCAGAATTTACTCAGTAATTAAGATTCACCTTGGGTAAGAGCTTCCTCACGGTAATTGCAACGGAAACAATTGACAATCCTCAATAGGGTGCCGCTTGTTTTTACATGACTAGCCGTTTAATCATTGCTTTGGTTGCAAGGGCCACCAGATTTAATCATTACTGCCGCCTAGTTGGCTGATACTAGGCCGGCTGTTTTTAGCGACTGGATGCATTTAACAAAACCATTGTGAAGGCCGGCTGTTTTAGTGCCTCTAGCTGGGACTGAGTTGGAGATGGTTGTTCCGTAACGTTCAGGTTTAATAGTGAAGGACCGAATGTTTAGCAGCTGCATAGATTGCCGTTTGTTTGCATTTCATCGTTAGCATGGCCGGATGCGTTGCACCAACCGACTGCTCATGGGGTGTTCTTGTTTCTTTATATGAGCACCTGTTGTTCTCCCACTTGCCGCCTGCTCATACCACACTTGCATCGAAACCATTCGTGTTAGTAGCTGGCATCGTGTTCACCAAATTTGCATGTTTAGGCAAGCTTTCCACTACCAGTGCAAGTATGAAGAGCAGTAGTAGCATGCGCATATTCAACCATAGCAACAACATATATTGGCCGGCTGGTTAAAAATACCATCTTGATGCCGATTGCTTGTTGTCAAGAAAGGTTTGGCAAAGGTGATGTTGGATGATACTTTGATTAGTTTGAGAACTAAGAGAGGTGCCTTAAGTATCCATTTTCGGCTTCAAGGGTGTAATGCTCACAACGTTTTGAGAGTCGATTGTATGCTAGCGTCTATGGCCCTCATTAAAGAGTTCCGGCTAGTTTAGAGCTAGTAGGCCGACTGCTTTGTGGCTGAGTTGGAGCCGATTGCCGCCTACTAGATTTGAAGAACGAAGCCTGGGTGTCGGTTTGTTCAAGAAGCATAAGGGCCATTACTCCACCTAGCATTTGCGAATCGTTTCAAAAGCTGAGTGTTTAGTGGGCGACGGTTATGATCATGGAAGTCTTGTTTGGTCTCCATGTTATACGACACATGCCTTGGTTTATATACCCTTGGTATTGTGACTTGTCACTTGGAGAGCCGCCTCCTTGTTATGATCACATGGGACTTTGCCACCTAGTTGGTCTAAGTGACGTGTGGCTAGCAATGTGCTTCTCATGTAATGATATGAAGTAGTCAGCGCTTGATTCCATGTTTACCTACGTTGTATACATATACAAGGTGGTATTAGGCGGCCTAACTTTGCATACCTTCTTTTATTTTTTTTTTTATTTTTTTTTTTTGTAAAATCATAATGATGATTTAATAATTATACCAGCCTACAAGCTTGACCATCCGACTCCCAACATTTGTTCGTATGACGCATGCAGTACTTGGCCGCCTGGCCGGATGCTGGTCTTCTACCGGCTGTACCCATTGAGTGTCATGCTAGGCGCATGTAACTTTAATCGGGGTTGGTTAGACCTGGCCGACTGCTTATATTGCCGCCTGGTCTATTAATTTAGCATGGGCAAGAACTATGTCGGCTGTACCCTGTGAGTGTTAGCACACTTTTGTGAGGGTGAGTGCCGCCTGTCTGACTCTCATGGTTAGATTTTGAATACCTCATGGAGGTATGGTGAAGACTGTCTTGAAAATCAGACGTAGAGGCCGACTCTGATAGTCGGTCATTCTTCTTCTGCTCCAGCAACATTCGAGCATCAGAGAATGTTCTCTTTGACTCGTCCGGTTGAATAAGGCGGATGGGCTTCCTCTTCCCTAGAGAAGGGAAGCAGTACTTTGTTAGGTCGATCACTGGCGCCTCTCTCCCCTTAGGTCTAGGGTGAGTAGTCGCCTCCCGATCCTTTGCAGGTTCTTCCTCCCAGATTGGGAGGGTCTTCTGGCCGACTGTTCCTTTGCAGGAACAGGCACCCTTCTATTGATCAAGTCTTGGATCTCTCCTTTGAAACTACTCATGAGGGCCATGAGTTTATTCCTGGTTATAGGGGCAGATCCCTCGGCCGCCTGTTGATGATCAGGCGGCGGGCCGGCTGGCCGACCGGGACCAGCCTCTCGTTCCCTCCTTTCGGTAGAACGGGTGCGTCGGGCCCTTAGGGTCCCGTCAGAGGCCGTGTGAGTCTCGACCTCAACCTCATTGTCAGTATCTTGATCAGTGTAGACCCGAGGGTCGTCCATGGGACGCTTCTCACTTTGAGTCGGTACAGACTGTGGTTCCATCCCAAAAGTACTCTCCCCACAGACGGCGCCAAAATGTTTCGGGGTTTTCTGATGTCCTGCGGGAGAGTTACAATTCCGAGACTGGAACCGGACGCCTGTACCTGCAAAACAAACGGAGACTCCTTGTGGTAGGAGCTCCGCCTCCGACGATCAAGTTAGTACTTGTTTGAGGAGTGATAAATGCGGAAAGTAAAGGTAGGAGATCTGGTTCCTCTAGGGGAGGAGAGATCAATGTGTTTTGGTTTTCTCTAGGTGAGAGTCATTAATTGCTGAATCCCCTTTAATGAGGATTAATTAAGTATTTATAGTCTTGAGAAGCGTGCCAATCCTAGGTTTAGGTTAACCAGGGCAAATTGGGCTTCTCTCGGACTTTGGGCCTTGGTGGCCATTTTGCCTATTTGGCATATGGGAGGCCACGTGGCGTGGCCTGATTAGTCCATGTTGGACCTCTTAGGGTGACAAATGGCGGACGCTGATTGGCCCACGTGGTGGACACGTGGCAGGTCCGGATTGGTCCATTAGTCATGGGTAATTTTTACCCTAAACAGTGGGCTTGATCCTATTAATGCTCTTCCTATCAATCTTTCTTCTTGCTCCTGAAATTATTGTAAATTAAACCATTATTTTGTACTATTTTGAGTTAAAATGTGGAAAAGTTTTAAACTTTTTTTTTTGTACCTTTAGTGCCATATTTTGTTGAGGAATTGACAAACCTGTGACAAATGCAACAGAGGATGATATGTTAAAGTGAGAATTGAAGACAATAAGACTAAATTGAAAGAAGGGGTCGGTCCAGAGTCAGCTGTCACGTTAATAGTGTAAATTAAAAAGGCGACAACTAAACTCGGGCCGAGGTATGTAGTTTATTAGTTTACCTTGAGCGAGGAATGGCTGTTGTTGTTGAAGTTGAGTGAATGTTGAAGCTAAGAAGAAGAGCAAAGAGAAGAGTTGAAGTGTATTAGTGATAGGAAAGACATGATTTTGAGGAAATCCCATTTAAGAAAATGAATGAAAGACCAAAAAATAATAAAGTAGTGTTTTGAGTTGATAATAATGAGAAGTGAAGTGAAATTGAGAATGAGTGATTGAGTGGCAGAGATTTAACTGAAGGGTATTAGGATGAAACGTGGGAAGGCAAAAAGAGAAGAGCAGAAAGCATCTATAAAAACCAAAGCCTTAAATGGGAAAAATACTTTGATTAATAAACTTTTTGACAAAACCTCGTTCAATGAGCCTTCAACCAAAGACTTCTGCCACCAAAAGTTGTCTTGCCACGCAAGATTTTATGAGAAATTTGAGAGCTATCATGGTTGAAGTTTTGTGAAAGAGAGATTATAGTCATATGGCCAACCATTTGAAATTTTGGGTTATTTTTATTTCGGTGTACTCTCTCCTTTTCGTGATACAATATTTATTTCGGGTTTTTTCATAAATTTTACCTTAATCTTCCTTTTGGATTATTTTAGAAACTTTGTCTCACTTTTAGTCTTGCTCTTACTACGGTAATACCGTAACACCATAGATAGATAGAACATCAACGCCCTTAATTTTCAACAATTTCTGACATTTACTACTATCCCATATAAGATTAAAATGTTTTAAAGATTTTTGAAATAAAGGAAAACTTACTTTCTCCAAAAAGTTAAATGAATATTTTTTTTCCAAATTTTTTTTTTTCTAATTCTATCATCCCTAATGTTAACTTTTCCATTCACTATCTCTTAATTGTTGTTGTATACACTCTATTGTGACACTCGCTTACTTTTTATTTCTCCATTGACAAATTTGTAAGGTCAATTGATATTAAGGGTCAAATTTAGTAATTTAATTGGAAAAAAGTAAAAAATGAAAAAAGAAAAGAATTCTACTCTTAATTACCATCACTAATCCCACACGTTTAAATCTTATAGGAAATGTACTAATGGGAAAGAAAGATAATAAAATAATTTTTTAATAATAATAAGGTTCTTATAAAAAAAAAACAAAAATAATAAATTAAAATCACACCTTAATATGAAATATAATACCAAGTAGTAGTTGTTTCGGGGTTTTCTGATGTCCTGCGGGAGAGTTACAATTCCGAGACTGGAACCGGACGCCTGTACCTGCAAAACAAACGGAGACTCCTTGTGGTAGGAGCTCCGCCTCCGACGATCAAGTTAGTACTTGTTTGAGGAGTGATAAATGCGGAAAGTAAAGGTAGGAGATCTGGTTCCTCTAGGGGAGGAGAGATCAATGTGTTTTGGTTTTCTCTAGGTGAGAGTCATTAATTGCTGAATCCCCTTTAATGAGGATTAATTAAGTATTTATAGTCTTGAGAAGCGTGTCAATCCTAGGTTTAGGTTAACTAGGGCAAATTGGGCTTCTCTCGGACTTTGGGCCTTGGTGGCCATTTTGCCTATTTGGCATATGGGAGGCCACGTGGCGTGGCCTGATTAGTCCATGTTGGACCTCTTAGGGTGACAAATGGCGGACGCTGATTGGCCCACGTGGTGGACACGTGGCAGGTCCGGATTGGTCCATTTGTCATGGGTAATTTTTACCCTAAACATTTGCCCCTCGGAAGGAGTAATTTCTCTTTCCAGGAGGGATTGCTCCTTTCGAAAGTTAGACCCTCGAAGCTTTGCTAGGTCGGCATCTTGTCTAGTTCTAATGGGAGATGGACTTGATTAACTTAGAAAATTTTGATACCTTGGGCGGTATGACATTTTCAAAGTTAATCAATCATAATAATGATTGCCGCCGAACTAGACATATGCCGATTCTTTGCCCCACTATGCAGATTGCCCCTGATCAGGTGGACTGTCAACTATTGCATAAGGGGTAAGCGTTTAGCATTATTCGGCAATTGGCCTCTTTTGATTCAATATACTAAGTTTGGTACTTAGTTTATTTTGTTGGGGGATGGCTGGTCGTCTGCTTTGGTGGCTGCATAGAAGCAGGCGTCAGACAGGACGTCCAACCAAAGTAGCTACGCCTGTTGGGTTACAGACAGCAGCTTTAAGTATAGCCAACCTAGTAAGAATAGTGGTCGAGTACCTCTGTTTACCAAAAAACAGGCGGACTCCTCATACCTTTTAGGTTCCGTACTAAGTTTGAGAGAGTGACTATGAGTTAACATTGGAGTTACTCAGTCTCCGTCACACTCTAGCTTGAGTAGTAGAGGTACCAGGCGGCGGAGGCCGGCTGATCCCCTTGATTCGCCAATGTTTGTTGGCTATTAACCCAAGGAGTGGTTACCTAGTAGGAATAGGGGTTTGAGTGCCCCTGTTTGCCAAAAAACAGGCGGTCTACTCAAACCTTTTAGGTTCCATACCAAGTTTGAGGGAGTGCCTATGAGTTAACTTTGGTGTTACTCAGTCGCCGTCACTCCTGCTTGAGTAGTAAAGGTACCAGGCGGCGGAGGCCGGCTGAACCTTTTGATTCGCCAATGTTTGTTGGCTATTAACTCAAGAGGTACCCCCTGCATTTATCCCAAGTAATACAGGGGGTCATCCGACTCAGATGTCAACTGCTACCACCGGTTTGGTTAGTGATAGAGTTATCCTTGTCTCAAAAACGGCTACGTGGTTGCCCTTGGGGACAGTCGTATAGGTGCCGTGTAATTAGTTTATAGAGCAATGTTCCACCCAAAAGGGAGCTGCTCTCTGCGACGAATTTCGTCCGGAGGGATGCCGTCGGACGCCTGCTATGATGTTGGGACAGGTCGTATTAGTTTAAAAATTGGATCAGTTGGCTTGGCGCCTAGGCTGATCATCGGGCCTGTGGCCTTGGTTAAGTCTTGGCGAACGTAGGTGCTAAGTAAGAAGAGGGCAGCCGCTTGTTTAGGCACATGGTCGGCCTGGCCCTAATCTTTTTTAGCTAAGTATAAGGGGGGTGGCTGTGTGCTTTGGAACCAGTCGGCCCTCTTCTATGGAGAGTAGCCGACTATATGTCCAGACGGCATGCCCCTCTAGTGATAGAGTAAAATAATCAAAGCAGAGAGTAGCCGACTATAGAGGTACCGCTGCTATACTCAATGGAGAGTAGCCGACTGTAATGGTACAGCGGCATGCCCCTCTGATGATATAGTGATATAATCAATGGAGAGTAGCCGACTGTAAAGGTACAGGCGACATGCCCCTCTGAATTAGTATCAAGTATTGAAATAATTTCAAGTGTTAGAGTAGATAGATCACTTAGCTCCCTTTTATGGAGGATTGATGACTCTACTTTCTTCGAATGGGGACAGGTGATCGTACTAAACTGGTTAATGTGGTTTGCGACCTCGCTGCTCGGCCTACACATTTGCCGCCGGTCATTAGCCCCTTAGTGAAATTAATGAGGGTCGACTGCTTTCATAGCTACGAGACTTCGTCGTATAGGGGGCCGAATACTATTCATGCCGCCTCTCTTGCTTGATAGACTTCGGCAATATTTTTTGAGAGGATCTTATGTTTTTGTCTTATTCTCATGCATGAGAATGACAATTAACCATACTGTTAGGCAGCATTTTTTATTTTTTATTTTTTATTTTTTTATCATAATAATGATTGAGGTCGCCTAAACCAAGGCTACGAAACCATGATAATCATACCACCAGACATTCGGCATGCCGCTTGCTTTCATTTGGCAAGACATCCAATCTTCTTAGCTTCAAAATCACGATGCATGATCATGATGATGTTAGGCTTAGCATAATGATGCTAGTTGTACTCGTACCCATGATAATTTTCTTGATGATAATTTCTTTCGTGTAACAGCCGGCTGTTTAGAGCTGGCAGGCCGGGTGCTTAGTGGCTGGGTTGGGGCCGGCTGCCGCCTGCTGGCTTTGAGGAACGATGCCTAGGAGCCGGTTGTTCAAGCATAGGTGTCATAAAGCTGGTTGTATTGAGGAAGTTGGGAGCCTTGTATTTTGACCCCGGCTTTCATTAGTTTAGCGAGGACACTAGGTGTAGTTAAACAGCCAAAGGCTTGACTAGCTAGGTGCATCTCTGTGCTCAACCACTAATGCTGGCTGTAGCCTAAGGCCGGCTTGGCTTGTGCGGGCGCCTCAATAGTGGACTGGCAACGAGGGCCGCCTATTCTGAAAATTTACAAACGACTTCTCAAATTCAGGCGTCCATACCCATCTTGCGTATCCAGCCATGCATACCATTCTCTCGTTCTCGCATATGCTGCTTTATTTGAGCTAGCTTGAAGTTCGACATTGAGATATCGTCTTGCACATTCTCAAACAAGGAACTTTTTGGTGTTAAACGGTTTCGGACACCATTAATAACCAAGGTGCGCAGCCGGCAACCGAGAGTTTGAGTTCAACATTTCACTTGCATTTTACTTGAGTTTGAGTTTGAGCTCATGCCTTTTCAACCAAGTGCCGACTGTTTTAGCCGCCATTTAGCCGTCTGCTTTCTTGGGCGAGACGCCAGTTCTTAGCTTTCACAATTAGCACATGAACAAGTTTAAGCATTCACTCTCATGGCCGATTATATTACTACGAGCCAAGCGCTACTCCTCTCGGCAGGTCGTGAGGTTTGAGGTTTATATGTGCGAGTATGTTGGCTGTTTACTTTTGGAAGATCAAGCTGGAACCAAACTCATTTGTATCAAGTATACTTGGCATTATATTTTAGAGCAAAAACCATGCGGTTATACCATGATAAAACATCATATAGAGCAGGCTGGTCTTATCACAATAGCAAATATCATAGATGCTCGCATGCCGGGGCCGTTTTTGAACCTCAAGTAAACCGAGCACAATGGTTTTTTTGGGCATGGCCGGCTGTAATCTTGAGGAGCACTTGTGATTGTGTAATTATTCTCGGCATTCTTGCTTAAAATACATATAGCCGGTTTTTCAAGGCTACCCTCGACGAGCACCGGCTGTTTGGTTGACCGAATGCCGACTAACTCTATAATGTCGCCTGCTCTCAAATGCTGAGAGTGTCGGATGTTTCATTAAGAGCTAACTAATGTTGCGTAGAGATGGCCGGCTGCTATTCATGCACCTAACTCTT